AAGTCCAGTTAAATCAAAATGATTTCATCCAAAATATATTCATGCTTGATAAATTCCAAATATTGGATTCTAAGTCTAATTTTTTATCTACTCATTTTTAAAAATATTAAAGTATTTCTAAAGTTTTGTAATATTTTAGTGGGGACAAATTTTAAAAAATATAAATTTTTTTAAAATTTCAAGTTGACCCCAAAAGTTTTCAAAATCACAATGGGGGCAATTTGCCCCCATTATTTATCCACCACTACAATCAAAGAAGAATTATAATTGACTCTAACCAAGAAAAATTAAAATATTTTCTACATTTCTATTGGTCATATTTTAGTAGTCTCTTTACATTTCTCTACTCTCTTTATCTCTTCCTATTTCGAATATCTATCCAAACATATTGAAAGGTTCAAAAGAATTATGTCGTTGAAACTTATATTAATACTCAACATCATTTCCTAAAATTAAGTTGAATTTTGTATTTCCTCTCCGAATTTTTCGATTGAAGGGTCGAGATTTTTACATGAGATTGTCTTCTTAATTGTAGCATACAATTTTTTCGCTGCACAATATCATAGATTTTGATTGCAACACCTATTTACATTACCATTGCATTTATTGAAATTTAATGGTTGAATGGCACTTTATATCCTAAAAGATTCTCAAAGTTTTTATGTATACCCTAAAAGCTTAAAATTATTGCATTAAACTCTTAATAATATAAAAAGTAGTAATGTAATCCAAAAATACATGGTCATTGCCTTTTCTGAAAAAAAAAAAAAAAAAAAAACAAAGCTCATCGTAATTTCCATATTATTTTATTTTTATGCATAATACTCAATTGTTTTGCCATAGAAATTTGGTAAGTTAAAAAAATTATGGTATTTAATTTTCTGATAATGGAGCACATTATTATTTATTTATTGAGGGTGTAATATGATAATTTTATTTTTTAAGGTATAAATTATGAATGTGTGCGAATTGCCATTTGCCCATATTTAATTTAGAAGAAAAGTTAAAATAGGAGGCAAGTAGGGAACAACAAATTTAAGGAAGGACAAAAAAATTGAAAGTGAAAGAGGTTTTGGAGGGGAAAACCCAATGAAAGGAAAGAGGGAAAAAATTAGGAGAAATAATAAAAATATGGATTCGTAGACGAATTTAAAAAGGGAAAATTACCAATAAGTATTATTTTTAAGTCCTAATTCTATTATAGTTCAATTTTATCCCTATGGTTTAGTTACCAAAACTCTTTCATTCTTTTGCATTCTTAGGATCAATTAATAGAATATTACAGATTCTGCTTTAATATTAATTTAAGCTAATTTTTATCAAAACCATTTTCTATTATATTAGATTTATAATAATTAAGTTAGGGATTTATTTTAGTTGTTGTGTTTGAATTGATAACGACATTAAAATAGAATGAATTCACAAATATTATGGATATATATATATATTTTTAAATCTTTCTTGTTTTATTAAATAGACAGCAAATATTATCTCAAGTCTTAAGATTAGGTACACCAATGAGATAAGAAAATAAGAAAATGTGAGTTTTTTTTTTTGGGTCCTATCATGAACTCTATGTGAGCTAAGTTTTTTTTAAGGGCTTTCGATGTTATGTAAGTAAGGAATTTTTTTCCTCTTAATTAGTTTTAAAAATGCAAAAAAATGAAAGTATTTTGGTAACTAAAAGGTAAGAATAAAATTAGAATATAATTGAATTTAGGGTTTAATTAAAATAAAATATCAAGAATATGACATCATTGATATAAAACAAAAATAATAGCACTTAATAGATTTTTGTGGTAATTTTCCCATTTAAATTTTTTTTAAATTGGGACGAGTTTGAGACATGTCGGCAAATCAGTACTCTTTCTATCAAGCTCACTTTTAAAGGGAGTCAAATCCCCTCCATTACCTCTTCCCTCCAATTTCCCTCAATGGTCTATCCAATAAGCGACACCTAAAAAAAAAATTTCAACGGACAATATCATTTCCAACTAATTGAAGTCCTTAACCATAATTAACATTATCTTTACAGCAACACAACACAGACGTCCAAATTGGACAAACCAGAAAAATAGAAATTTTTGCCATTTTTGGCTCTCAAATCTCAATCTCCTACCAATTCGATTTCAGCTTTGGCACTCAAATCCGATAGATTTTGTCGAGAAAAAGAATTGACCTTCATCAAAAGATTCATCGTTTTTGTTCTTGCTCATCAAATTCTTGATTTCAGATGCTAGAATTTCATCTCGATTTCTGGTGATTAAGTTTCATTCAACGTCCCAAGGTTTGTTTAGGACTCCTCTTACTCTTTCAATCCCGAATATATAACGTTCTATTTCCTTAAATACATAATGAATCACGTGTGTAAGCTGTTTGATTAATGGCCTGAATGATCATTTTCTTTTTAGTTGTATTTTGTATATGCCAATGTGGCTATAACATCACCATAAATAATTGTGTATTGCTGGTTTAATGCTTTTAGGATGTTATGTTTAATTAGATTCTTCACATACTAGACTTATGTTTTTTATAATAATGAACTTCTAGTAGTACATTTACTTGATATTTGATTTATTATGTAAAACTTGGGTAAATTTGAATTTTTATTAAAAAAAAAAAGTAAAATGGTAATTAGTTATTACAGTACAGGTTGAAAACCCAAATTTTTTTTGAAACTTGGATGACAAAATAGACTTTACTGTTGGATTCGTCTCGCGAAATCTAGTTACTTAGTCAATTTTTGTTAAAGTCCGAGACAGTTAGATTTTTCACATTTTACGATGTGACTGGTTGTCGCGTGACCTAAAAACGAGATGTGGAATTAAATTTTAAAAATTAAAAAATTAATTTAAATTTAGTTCAAATAAAAATATTTTGAACTTGAATCGAGACAAAATTTAATTGTTTCAGGACAAAACTGGACCCGAAAATGGAGGACGTGTGGCGAAATGAGGGCCAAGCATCTAAGGGTATAAATAAGTGTGAAAATCAGATTTTCTCCCCATAAAAGAGGGAAAAGAGAGGATTCTCCAACTACTCTCTCCGATTTATGGCTCTATGTTGGCCGAAATTCTTCAGGCCAAACCAAAGTTTATCTGCATAATGAGGGCTATGCTTACATACCAAAACTTGAAGGTTTTGATGAAGAAAAAAAAATGGAATTTTGGAGGAAGCATGAATTATAGCTTGTTTTGGGTTGTGGGAGTTTTCTACCATTATTTTACGCTTCAAGAGGTAGGTTTATTTTCAAACTAGGGTTCCATATGATATGAATAGCATGTTTGATATGCTCCTAGTCGAACTAAATTATGGGAAATGGGTATAAAAATATGCTAAACCAATCTTGTATGAATTGAGTTTGTAGAATTTACTTGTTTGGTAAATTCATGAAAAATGTGATAATTGGGCATGATTATGTATTACATGATTTGGTGCCTTGAATGAGTTTGATAAAATGTCTATGTTGATGTAGCCAGTTGGTTTCATTAAAAATGTTATAACATGTTTGGGTATTAAGAATAGTTAAAATCAATTCTAGCATGAATTTGACACTTAGAAATTACTTGTTTGTGATTTCTAAAGAAATGTATTGATTGGGCATATTATATGTTTACATTTATGCCTTGAAGGTGTTTGATGAAATGCGTAAGTGGATTAAGTGAGTTATTTACAATGGTTGTGTTATAACATTCTTGGGAATTAGTATTGGTATATGCATATGATATATTAACACTGAGATTATTTATGGTGGTTATATGCTTATGATTTAATTTACCACTGAAAAGGTTGTTGAATATTGAATTATTTATAATGTGTTCATAACATATTGAACATGGTTGACAATTGCAATTGTACATTTACATTGCATATGCACGGGTAACATCACATTCATAGACATTTGACATGAGTGTGGGTGTGTGTGTGTGTATGTTTTTGAATCAAACACCATTCTTTGTGGTTGATGCGTGGACTCGGGAATATTGGACCTAGGTCCAGCTGAGTTGCACGGTTGTAAGAAAAAAAAATTGTGTCGGATATAGCAAGAAGGAATAGATACTCCCTCGAGTGCAAGACCCGATTACTGGTTTATACACTTCCGACAGTGCAAGTCCAAAAAAGTGTAACAGTATACGAAACTGGAGGTGAGATTTTTGAATATCCAACAAATACACATGGTTTATTTTAAAAAGATAATTGGATGTGTAACATCAATCACTGGGGCTTGGAATGCCCGAATTCATACGCATCACATTTCATGTGTTGAGGGAGCTAGTAAATGCTCGAGTTAAGTTGTATGTGTGAGTCTCATCTCATATCATGGTATGACATTGATGATTCCATTGTTGAATTGCATATTCTTGAATGGAGTGATTATTGTTTGTGAATTGCATGTGAATATTTCATATGCATCTATGTTGGGGAGTAGCCTCTTTAGGAGATACCCTATTGAGCATGACTCACCCTTTATGGGGATAATATTTCAGGTGTGGAGCATTCCCCGGTAGACGGCCCTCATTCGGGCCCTCATTGATGAAAAAAAACCAAAATATGACTTTTAAACTATGCTTTTGTAAAAATAAGATGTAAATTAGTTTTTGAGCATGTAATGTATGTAAATGATTGTAATCAAACTCATATGGATTATGTTTAATGTAAAATTGTTTGTTGTTATATGAGTATGAATAAATGGACCAGGTGTAGTCAATATTGTATGATTGCACATGTTGTATTTTGGGTAGAGCTCCCCGTACAAAGGAGACTCTACCCGAATTTTGTTAAGTTATGGATCTTGGTAAATGGGGCATATCGACGTGGTATCGAGTTACATGGTATCCACGGATATTTTACGAGTTGATGGGTGATCAACAAGTTGACAAAGAACCCCCGATTTTAGGGGCGTCACGCATTAACTTCATGATTGTAGATTTATAAGCATCATGGTTACTGAATCTCAAGATAATAATGTCTATGTTTAGCATTCGGAGCCTCATGTGCCAATGATACTTGGGATGGAGTTTGAGTCTAATTGTGAATCCTATTTGCAATACAATGAGTATGCTAGGACAATTGGTTTTAGTGTTCGCAAGGAGTATGTCAACGAAAATAAAGTCGATAGCTATGTGACGTCAAGAAAGTTCACATGGTATAAGGAAGGTCATCGAGAGAAAGACAAACTGTATGCCACAGTGAAGAAACCTAGAAAGGAAACTAGAACTGGTTGCTTGGTTCACATGGTTGTTAGCCGTCAACCAAATGGAAAATTTATGGTTAGTTCGCTCGAAGCGAAACATAACCATCCTCTTGCTCCTCCATTAGTTGCTCACATATTACTATCACAGAGGAAGATAAATAGTGTTCAAGCACATGATATCGACATAGTAAATGATTAAGGAATACGTCCTAAATCTTCTTTTGAGTATGCTAGTCGACAAGTAGGTGGTTGAGCTAATTTGGGTTTTACTATCATAGATTTTAAAAATTATCTCTGTGACAAAATGAAAAATGATTTGAGGCGGGGGGAAACAAGTAGCATATTAGATTATTTTGAGAATCGGAGATTAGATGATCCGAATTTTCACTTTTCGATTCAATTAGATGATGATGACTTGAAAGCAAGCATATTTTGGGCTGATGCTAAAATGAAGATTGACTACGATGTTTTTGGAGACATTGTGTCATTCAACACAACTTATAGGATAATCATAGGCAAATGGTGATTTTTGGAGCTTCCTTGTTATATGATGAGACAATCAAGTCATTTCAATGGTTATTTGAGAGATTTTTAAGAGCTATGTCTGGGAAAAAAACCAAAGTTAATCATCACATATCAAGATCCCAAAATTGCTAAGGCAGTTTCACTAGTAATGCCAGAGTCATATCATCGGTTATGTATATGGCATTTAGAAAAAAATGCTTGTAAACATCTTAACCATGTCTTCCCAGATCAAGAATTTTTAGCAGTGATTTTGGTAAGCTTTTCCACCATTATGAGGATGAGCAGGATTTTTTAAACGCTTGGGATGCCTTGTTTAAAAAGAATAATCTCAGGCAGAACGAATGGTTAAAGAAGACATTTGACTTGAGAGAGAAATGATCAACTGCATATGGAAGACACTATTTTTCAGCTGGCATGAGAAGTACGCAACTAAGTGAGAGTCTCCATGGATCCCTTGGGGAGTATTTGAAATCTGATTTGGATTTGGTATAATTTTTTAAGCACTTTTAGAGGGCACTTGATGACAAGCAATACAATGAATCGAACGCACTTTATGACATGACACATCGAATCCCAATTTTAAAGGTTGATGTTCCATTACTACGGCATGCGAGAGATGTTTATACATCAACCATATTTGATATGTTTGAAGACAAATGGGAGAAATCATTATTTATCACCATCAAATATTACAATAAAAGATGAAATGTTTTGCAGATATAAGGTTGGCACATGTGAAAGTACGAGGGAGTATACAATTACTATAAAATCATCTGAGACAATGGTTTTTTGTGGTTGTCAGTTATTTGAGCTGCCATGCATTAAAATTTTTGGATGTCATGGATGTAAAAGAAACAATCCCCAGCAACTACATTATGAAAAGATGGACAAAAGATGTTACTGCCATGAATCCTATAGATATAAATAAAGACAAGGAAGATATTCTTGTAGCTTCTTCAACTCATGCTAAAAATCCACAAGAAGGTAGTAACGATGTTGAAGTCTTTGTAGATAGTGCAAATGTTACAAAGGTGATGGGTTTAAAGAGGAAAGAGTCAACATATCGTTGAAACAATCGACCCAAAAGTTTCTTGGAAAAGACTTCAAAAAGAAAAAAGAAGCCCTCATCGACACCAACTGCTCAATCTCATGTAGTGCACCCTGTGAACAATCGCACAAGTTCATATACCCACTTTCAATCGATAGTGAACTACAACTCACCTGTAAAGTTATCAATTCATTATCCGTAATGCTTTCATTTACTCTTGTAGTTTGATGGTAAAAACTTTTTGATTTTTCCATTCTACAAACTTATAGGTATCAGAGACAACAAATTTTAGTCCAACGTGCACTTCCCAACTATCTCAAGTATTGTCCCAAGGAGGCTTATCTCAACTTCTAAGGGTTAGTATCCATCAAATTAAACACCTATTTTTTTATTATTTTTTTTATAGCACACTATATTTTGTTATGCACTGGTAACAGGAGCCTTTATACTGGGACTCAAATGGGGATTCACAGGTGTTGAATACTATTCAACAAAATCAGGTATTTAAGTGCACATGTTTTCCTTTGACCAAAGAGTGGTGGAGAACTAGAATATTTTTTTTAATATTGCATTAGGGATATTTTTTAATTACATCTTATTTTTGTTGCAGGCAATGAATTTAAGTTTCCAAATGCAGGGTCCAGATGAAGGTCACAATGTATTGTTCAAAGAAAGCTGAAAATGTTATACTGGTGGCTTTTAAGCAATTTCAAGGGAAACATGAAGTGCCCCTTTTTATCTTTTCCAGTTCTGGCCCATTAGCATAATAGTAGGTTGGGCATGGTTCTTGGTTCTTTGTTCTTCGTATTATTTTTCCCAATAATTGACAACATTTTAATTTGTTTTTATCTTTTCCCCTACTGATTTCATTGTACCATGGGACTTCACTATTTAGGATTCATTGGTTTTGACATTTTTTTTCCTTTGGCAATAAGCTCTTTTTGATTTCTTCATTAATTTTAACTATTATTGAAATAAAATTCTCGTGTTTAGTATTAACCCATTAAATTGTTCATATTTTAGCTTTTAATTTGTATTTATTTATTGCAATAATCGGCAATTGGCTTTTCAAATGAATTTTCGATGTTCATCAAAATGCCCCCTTTTGAGAGTTTTTACAAACAACTCATGAGCAAAAAAATATATCAGAGGAACTAGAGTCGGAGATCCAGAAACACCATTTGAGAAATAGCACGGAAAAAATGTAATGAATTAGTAGAAGAGGAAATAGAATTGATGATTTAGGTTTATTGGCAAAAGAAGATTTGTTCACTTTGGCATCAAACAATTCAACCATACATCGCTATCCCTTCTTCTCGTTCGGTAATCTGCATTGAATATATTCTGTATACACCAAGATGATATATAGAAATGAAGAGGAGAAGAACTTGCTGAATGCAAACAAATATGAATTATGGTGCAGTAGATATGCAGATGGGATGAGTCAAATATTTTTGAGAACGTGGTGCCAAAACTCAAGTCATCGCTTTGTTGTCAACGTTTATCAGCCAGCCATATTATGTTTTGCTAGGTTTGTTTAATGTTAACTATAGTTAAGGACTTCAATTGATTAGAAATAATCTTGTCCATTGAATTTGTTTTTCTTTTTTTTGAGATGTCCGATAAATTATTGAAAGATACTTGAAAAAAAGTGTAATGGAGGGGATCTGAATCCCTTTTAAGGAACGAGAGATATTTTCTCTCTCTTCCTTTGATTCAATCTTGAACTCTTAACATTTTCTCAGGTCTCTATCTGTCGATCAATTACACGCTGTTCGAGGAGTCTGTCAAATGGGTATTTCTTGAACTCTTAATGCGCTGATTCACTCGATTCATAATAGTTCTTTTTTATTTGGTTTTTTTGATTCGTAATATTTCTATGCATTCGTTCAGTTTAATTTCAGAATCTGATAATCAAACCATTCGATTTGATTATTGGTTTTTATTAGCTTTCTATAAATCTTGGTTCTTTGTTAGAGTTGGGTTCATTTTTTGTTTGGTTCGTAAAGAAGAGTAGTTTGAGGAAAACACTAGTGTTGTACTGTCCCCACCACTGGTTTAGGGTTCCATTCACTATTATATATACCTGAATTATGATTAGTTTTTTTTTTTTTTTTTTAGCATATCACTGTTTTGATGTAGGTTTTTGGGTTTTTTTTTGAAAGAAATTTGCATTTGATGACTTGTAGTTGGAGAAAACATGGTCTCAATAGAATTTACAGTTTTTCTAGATATTTGGTAATTTTTTTTTTTAGTGCATTGTGTGTGCATTGAAATTTTGTTCAGCATAACCCATTTGAATTTTTGCAGGTTTTATAGATCTTTCGGTGTCCGTGTTTATTCAAAATTCTGTGAATGTTTCCATTCCTTGTTATAGCTACAGATATTGTTTGTGGACATGTCATTGTTAGTATCATCTTCGTCTAGAAATGTTGATCAATGAACTTGTCATTGTCAGAAGAGGAAGAAAACCTAATGAGAACTGGAGTTATGATTTTTTGATGTTGGTGTTTGCCTTTTCAATGGGTTTCATACATTTTGTTTTCTTTTCAATGCTCGGTGCAGAAGGTTCAGGATTTATACGTGCATTGTGATTCTTCAATAGAGACAAAGGTGTAGGCCAAGCTCCAATCTCGGTTTGCCGCCTTCCTCCAGCAAATGGAAAACTTTGGCCAAATTTCAAACTTTCTTCATTTCGATAGGTAAGCTCTCTTTATTTGCAAGATAATTATAAAATTACTATGAAATTTGGAATATTAAGCAGCAACATATAACTACAGAGAGCTCAAAGACATATAATTTGAATAGTTGTTTGGTGTGTAAATAACCTTCGAGATGGAAGTTCATTAGTAAGAGTTTTTTTTTTATTATATTGAGTGCCTGCTGAAGCTTCATTAGTAAGTGTTTATTATATCGAGTCCAAATGTCTCTCTACAATCAGTTATTTTGAATTAGCAGCAAATAATTTTTTAGGCAAAAAAATGGCTTTCTAAATTTAAATTCAAGATGATCGGTGCTTGAGATGCTGAAATGTTGCCCCATAATTTCTAAAAAAAATGTGACATATAAAAAGTAATGGACGTGTTACATATATTTGTAATTATTTATCATATTATGTTAATGTGTAAATATGTACAAATATAACTATAGCAACAGTTCAATGAAATCAATATTTTATGATAGGTAAATCTTATGTTGGTACTCTAATGTGAACTTTTTATACTTATGAATCATAATTATCATTGTGTTGTTCGTGGATGAAGTATAGCAAACATGATAGTTATTATCATTGAGTTGTCACCATTGAAGTGTTGTCTTTCAATTATGGGCATCAGGGCATGGCTAAAAGAGTATTGGACATGTGGTTCATGACGACAGTGTTGGAGAAGTGTGTTTAATACCTGTTCAATGGGGATATGTTATGTCTGTGTTTCTTAAAATATTAGTATAGTGCTTTGAGTATATGGATATATAAACATATCTATAAAATTTTCAAGAAAAATTGAGGGTAGGCGCTTGCCCCTGTTTAGCTCCACTGTTGGTTTTTCAACCTCATCCAGAACCTGTTCAATTAAATATATATCCTCACATTACTCATTCTGTGCATACTACAAAAGCAGCAGGATTCGAAACCTGTTATATGTGTCAACTATGCTATAATGTCCATAAATAGATGGCTGCACAATGCCTTGAAACATTGAACAATTGATGTATTAGTTGTTTCTGCTAGTGTTGCTACCTTTTTGCTTCACTTTGCCCCTTTTCCTATTTCCCTGGCTGTTCAAGAACTGTTTAAGTGTTAATTGAAAACGAAATGTCAAACCTGATACATTGTGCTGCAATGTTGCTGTTGCAGGAGTTGCTGACTGCATGCTTCTAGACTATTCTTTATAGCACAGTGCTTGTAATGGGATCCATTTGTCTAAACATTTGCTTTTGTTTCTAACGGTGTTGTTTGAGTTCAAATCAGTACTGCATGCTTGGCTTTAGTTTACCTTAAAGAACTTTCTTTTGGTATTGATAATTAACCTATTCCATATGCCTGCCTGCTAATATGAGAATCATGGACATGGATCAGGAAACAAAGATGCAGCCCTATACTTTTTTAAGAAGACATCTCTTAAAAAAGTAGGGCATGCACACGCAGGGGACACATTACAAATACTTGTGTTTTATATAGAATTATGTAATCTGTCACTCTAAAGGGATATAATAATAGTGTAATACTATACTAGCTCCCCCCCCCCCTCCCCGTAATGCACAAAATTGATATTTTGGTTCCGTTATACCATCTTCCCAAATTATGATATTTTTTAGGGAATTTAGTAAAGTTAAAAGAGGATAGATAGTATATGAAGTTGGATGAAAATATAGATGATGGGAAGTTATAGATAGGGTGGGAAGATTGATAATGTGAGAAGTTGTATGCATATAAATAATTGCTAGGAGATGAATAGTGGTTTAAGATGAAGTTACGAGAGAACATGAAATAGTGGGAGTAGTCTTGAAGTTTACTGGTGTGAGTCATGATTTGAGCAAACACATGTTTTTAAAATTTACATAAACATAAAATTTATAAATTAGGGTAAGGAATCCCAATCTCTTTCAAGAGAAGTCTGATTTCTATTATGATATAGGATAGATGAGTGAATCAATACTTGGGTTAAGTAAATCTTAAGCTTTAGACTAACAAAACATAGTCTAAATGTAATTGGTGTAATTATGTCGTGATGTTAAATGATTGAATTTTTTGGTTTATATAAACAACTGAATGACAAATTGGATTGGTGTTATAATTTCGTGTAATTATTTGGTATAAATATTTGATTTATTAGAATATATGTGTAACTATTTGGTGTATTATAGGACAATTGTAACTAATTGATATAACTGATTTGTGTAATTGTGTTGTTGTAACACTGATATAAGGAGAGAGAGAGAGAGCAAGAGTTAAGTGAGAGAAAATACGGGTAAAGAAGTAAGGGGGAGAGAGAGAGAAAAAAAATTGGAAAAAGATGAAAA